ACTGTGAAAATAATCCAAAGATAGAAACAATAGTGTCAAAAGTGACCAGAAAATACAATAAATTAAGTACAAAACAATGAGGAAACACGAGCCTGAACTGGGACACTGATGTGGGGGAGATGCCAGATAGGAGGACTTGGTATGAGAAGATATGGAGAACCTCCCATTTTTTTGGTCAGTCATGGGGCCTGAACTCTGGACCTAGGCGCTGTCCCTCAGCTCTTCAGATCAAGGCTAGTGTTCTACCACTTGAACCACAGCACAACTTCTGGCCTTTTCTGCTTATGTGGTGCTGAGGAATCAAACCCAGAGCCTCATGCATGCAAGGCAATCACTCTACCACTGAGCCATCTTCCCAGCCCCAGAACCTCCAAATTTAAGAACTATGCTCCTGAAAACAAACAGGAAGAAGAGGCCTGAAGAAGGGTAGAAAAGTAGTTATCTATTGAACAGTAAGAGTATGTCTAGCTTGTTAATAACCATGGATGAGAGGCCCAGAAAACATCAGTATCTACATTTTTTTTTTGTCGGTCCTGGAACTTAAACTCTGGGCCTGGGCACTGTCCCTAAGCTCTTCAGCTCAAGGCGAGCGCTCTACCACTTAAGCCACAGCATCAATTCTGGTTTTCTGGTGGTTAATTGAAAATAAGAGTCTCATGGACTTCCCTACCCCGTCTGGCTTTGAACTTCAATCCTCAGATCTCAGCTATCTAAGTAGCTAGGATTACAGGCACGAGCAATTGGCGTCTGGCCAGTATCTACATATTTAAAACTAGATACATGTCAAACGCAGAGAAAAAGGAGCTTTATCAAAGATGGCTTAGACACATGCAAAGATAAAGAACCCTGAGAAACAAAAATAGATAATAATTTCAAACTGGAAGACATAGTTATAAATATCACAGAGATTACATCAGCTAAGGAGCAGAAGTGTCTCCTAGATTTGATAACTGGGTTACTATTAGTTGGAATGAAGTCAAGAGATAATGAGGGCAAAATGTTAAGGAAATAAAAAACACCAAGTACGGACTACTTTCAGAAAAACTTAAGAAATAGAGATAAGTTAGGAAGTGTTATAAGTGTTAATGTAAGACATCTTGTATTTATTTTAATGAATGTCTCAAGAGAGAACTCTGAGATACTTATCACTGAAGACCAAAAAGCAGCAAGATTACCATTGACAGTACCCTCTACCAAGCTCACTGCTCCCTTTTCCAGCCAAAAAACACCTACCTGGATGGGGCATTCCACCTGGTGGGAATGGGTGTGGATGTGAATGTCCATGTCCAGGATGTCCAGCCCCTGGAGTTCCTGCTGAAGGGGGGCCATGTCCTCCAGCCCCAGGAGGCATAGGTGGCGGGGGCATGGCTGGGGGTATTCCAGGTGGGAGGGCTCCAGGAGGCGGTACTGGAGGTGGGAAGGACCCAGGAGGTGGCATTCCTATATAAGAAATGAAAGAAGAGTTAATGGTGGTGAGCAATGTCCTTAAAGAGCCTCCAATCTTGCCTCACGAGTGGCTGAGCACTTTACCCTCCTCTCAACACTCTAAAATCAAAAGCAATGGTTAGCAAGTCAAACTTCCATCGCCTGAAGAAACCCAACTCTGTTCATCGCTATCACCATTCCCCTCTCATTCCCCACTGACCCAGCATACTGTCCTTGCTGCTTGTTTTGTCTGCATCCAGCCCCACCCCCTACAAACCCAAAACAAACATAATCCAAACCTAAAGTTCTACCTGGTGGAGGGAGCCCAGATCCCAGCGAAGATACCACCGGATTGGGGGCAGAAGGCGGAGGGGGTGCATCTGCAAATAGCTGATGAGGTCGGTCAGCCTGGGAAAGTGGATTCTGGGCTGCCAGAAGTCGTTCAGCTGCTGAGCCATGGCGCTCACCTTTAGAGTCCTTCTTGAAAGCATAAGACACTGTGATAGGGCGGTTACAGAGATACTGCCCATTCATGGCCTCAATTGCTGCATCTGAAGCATCAAATGAAGCAAAATTAATGAACGCATAACCTTTGGAGTTGCCTGTGTCAGGGTCCCGCATAATTTTAGGGGTTTGTAAGATGACCCCAAAGGCGCTGAAAGTATCATAAAGCAGCTTCTCATCAATCTCTGGGTCCAGGTTCCCAATGAAAATGTTGGCCCCTACATCCAGGTTTTTGTTATGAGCTGATGCCTTGTTCACCCTGATGGGCTTTCCATAGAGTTTGATCATATTCATAATCTTAATGGCATAGTCAGCATCTTCCTCACTCAAGAATTCAACAAAGCCATAACCTGGAAAAGTGGAGATGGGTAAGTTAACTCAAGCGAAGAGATTCAAAATGGAATGTAACACTCCCCCCCCCAGCCCCCCCACCCCGCCAACCACAAATAATGTGACCGAAATAAAAGTGTCACTTCAACTGTGAATGTGAACTGACATTTACGAAAAAAAATCTCCCAAAGACAAACTGTGAACTGAAGTTTAAGGGAAAGAAATATTTAGACTGCTCATTCCCAAACAGTTATGAATACTGTTGGGACTGTTCGGGAGCACTGGTCCCTACAATATATGCACTGACCTCTTGTCACGTACTTACCTTGATGCTGGCCAGTGACTCTATCCTTTGGCATGTGGGTGTTGACCACGGGCCCTGCCTGGAGAAAGAGTTCCCACAGGAGTGGTTCGCTGACCTTCTCATCCAGGCCCCCCACGTACACAGTGGCATCTCAAGAGAACAGAAAATGAGGGTCGGGTGAGAGCAGAGCAGAAAAGGAGTTGGTGGCAACATGAAGATGGATTTCGGCACGGGGAGGGCAGGGGTCCATCACATAAAGGAAAAAGCCAAACAAAACACGTGCAGCCCTTAAACATCTCTCCTTACTGGGAGTCTAGCGAACCTGCTAGTTTGATGCTCAGCTGCAAAACTTGTGGCTCCGTGGGGATGTTTTTTCTGTAGTGGCAATGCGGCCGGGAATCGGGCCTAGAAGCCGCGCGCCAGGCCTCGGCCGGCACCGGCCGCGCCCCCCGCCACCCGGGGCCCAGCTCATCCCCCCGGAAGGTCTAGCCTTCCACCTCCGCCGAGCCGCCGCCTGGCGCTAGTCGGCACCCCTCAGATCCCCTGGGCGCATCCCCCCCAGTTACCCTGGTTCCGTTCGGAAATCGGCCCCGCAGCCATGGCGAAGAGGCTCCCGCGCGTCTCTTAGCGGCAGCCCCACCCCCTGACCGCAGTTACTACTTCCACTTCCGGGGCGAACATGGGTGGGGGCGGGGGCGGTCGCTGGGTGGTGCTGTGGAGGGAAGGAGTGGGAGGAACCGGAAACTGCAGCAGCCATCTTAGGAATGTGTGTGTGTGTGTGTGTGTGTGTGTGTGTGTGTGTGTGTGTGTGTGTGTGTCTGTGTGTCTGTCTGTCTGTCTGTCTGTCTGTCTGTCTGTGTGTCTGTGTGTCTGTGTGTCTGTGTCTGTGTGTGTGTCTGTCTGTCTCTGTGTGTGTCTGTGTGTCTGTGTGTGTCTCTGTGTCTGTCTGTCTGTCTGTCGGGGATGTGTGTGTCCGGGGTGGGGGTGGGGGTGGGAGCTTGCGTAGTCAGCTGGCGCTGTGTTACTGGGGTTCTAGCGATCAGTGTTTATTTGCTGGTTAATTGGAGATGGAGTGAGGCGTACTTTCTTGCCCCGGCGGCTTCGAACTGTGAACAACAGGTCCCAGCTCCCTGCGGAACCAGGATTCCAGGCCGTGAGCCGCCATCGACTAACCCGGGCTCTGATTCGGAGCCGACGTGCCCCTGGCACCTCTCAGAACTGTGGCGGCAGAGCTGGAGCTGCCTCATGAGGCAGTGCTGGCCGACAGAGAATTCGGTACTCCCAAATGTGAACAATCAAAAGCTAGGGGGGAAATGCTGGCTTTCACACATATATATATATATACATATATATATATGTATGTATATGTATATATATGTATATTATATGCTGTACTGGGTTTTTAACTCATGCCCTTGGCCATACGCTGTACCACTTAAGTCAGACCTCCAACCCACAAAGTGAAACTTTGTGACATAGGAAAGAGTGTGCAGAGGAATCCCCCCAACTCAGCCTCACTTGCTTTGAGGTGCAGGCAGCCTTCCATGTTGGCCCAGAGAATGTATGCAAATACAAACTCAAGTCCCTGTGTCAGAATTAAAGGTGTTAGTTTTTCCATCTTGGGGATGATTTGGCACAATGTCTGAGCTGTAATGGTAATCATTAATGCATAGGCAAGGAAATCTGAGGCACCATGATCATGTGAATGACATTGAGTGGTGGCTAGGATTGGTTCAGACTTCAGTCCCAACCTCCAGAATACAACATCTTGATAAGCTTGTCCTATTTCCTAAACAAGAGAAAAGAGAACTCTTTCCCAAATTGTATGTGAATTCTGAAGAACTTCACCTGACCCAAGTTATTATCAAAATACAGGATCCCACCTCCTTTACCCATCACTCTTTACTTCCTAGGATCTTGCATTTAAACACAAGGAACAATGCCAGCTCTTTATACAAATGTGATTTAATGAACTTAAATAGAAATGCCACTACAATCTGTCATTCACACACACACACACAAACCAATGGGGGTGGGGAGGGAATAAAAATTGGATTTGAAGCAGCAGCAGCAAGAGAGAATAAGAACTAAGTCTCTAGGACATCCTTTTGGAACTAATAAACAGCATTTCTCACCTCACAATTTAACAGCTAGTTATCCAAAAAGTGGATGAAATTGCCTCCACCCCACCTCCAAAAAAGGCAATTGCATTTTGGATTGTTTTTGTTTCTTAGTTCTTTAGATCACAAAATACATGTACATGTATTACAAGCAGATGCCTGTAATCCTAGCTACTCAGGAGGCTGAGATCTGAGGATCGTGGTTCAAAGCCAGCCCAAGCAGAAAAGTCCCCTTGAGACTCTTATCTCCAATTAACCACTCAAAAGCTGGAGGTGGCGCTGTGGCTCAGGTGGTAGAGCACTAGCTTTGAGCACAAAGAGGCTCAGGGACAGCAACCAGGCCCCTAGTTCAAGCCTCATGACCGACAAAAAACAAAAACAACGAAACAAGACAGAAGAGCTGGATATTAGCACCGCCATCTGCTACAGAAACTCAAAATGAGTTTCTTTAAAGAGGCTGGAATGTGAAAAGCTAAGGCAGCAAGGCCAGATAGAAAAACTTCTGGATTAAACAGAGCCCTCCCTCATCCACGCTGCCCCCGGCCATGCCTTCGAGAATGCCAGTAATTTCACTGGGATTGGGAGAAAAAAGTATTTGGATCTCTTTTCTCGCAACGATCCTGGGGAAATACTCTTGGTGTCCATTTTCTTAATAGCTCCTGAAGACAGGCTAGTTCCTCCCGAAGGCCAGAGATTGTGAGAGCTGACAGGCCCATCTGGGGAGGGGACAAAGGAGGGTAGAAATGAGTATTATTGAAACTCTAGCTTCAGTAATCTGTCTGCTACTTCTTTACTGTTCTTTCTCCTTCAAATTATCCCTTCCATTCTACTTGATCTAAGCATTTTCCCCACCTTCTACACCCCAAACCTACTCAATTTGATAACAGGAATAGTACTTCCAATCCCTTTAGCACTTTCTCCCACTCCCCATCTCCCCTTCTCACCTGGACCTCAGGCCTTCCCCTCAGGTAGCAGCGCTTCCAGAGCCTGATCTGGGGTCCCAAATATCCAGGTAGCAATAGTCCTGGAGGTAAAGGGCAAGCTCCCCAATGTGAGGGGAGCCCCCACTCCTGGTCAGCCAGGCTTTCAGAGGAGGTAGCTGGTCGAGAGAGCCAACGAGAAGGGACTGCCAAAAGAGAAGGACTGTCTCGCCAAGGACAAAGCTGATGCAGGGGGGTCAGGGCCCCTCTAGAGAAAAGCCACATCGAACTTGGAGGTCCAGGAACCATGAAGTTTGGCTAAGGAGGAAAGGGAAGTCAAGTGGCAATTGAGAAACCAGATAACCCCAGTTTGGGTTAGGAAGAGTGTCCTGCACTCAAAACTAACAGACAACTCTTCCTCTCATCTATACTCGCTAGGCATCACCCAGGCCTTGGGACTAACTGAAATTGGTTTTAGAGAAACTTGGAAAATATGGGCACAAGATTGGAAGACTAATAAACAGAAATGAAGATAAAAGGGATGCCCTTGGTGCTATTCTAGGATTTCTCTTTTCTTTGCCACAGTCAGGTACTGTAAGTGATAGGTATAAAACAGGAGTGTGGTAGCTTTCCCTGCTAAACTCAGGGAAAGACATTGTATCTTTCTACTCTTCTGGTAGCATAACCCATGAAAAGTCAAGGGAATTTAGGAAGCTTAGGCCTCTCACCTGTCTAGGGAACCAGGATTCAGGGCAGTGCTCCGGGTCATAGCCAGGATTATGGAATTGTAATATCTGTTCATTGCTGTAGCGTAAATCCCAGTCCCAGACAGAGAGCTGCACATTTATACAGTTCCCATCTGGGGACTGAGAGTTTTCTGGGGTATAAACCTGTGTATAGGAGTTAAACTAGACAAAGGAATCAAGAAAAGAGATGATTAAACAATATATATATATATATATATACACATTATACACATATATATGCTCATATGTGCGGAGATATATATATATGTCTGTATAAATTATATATAGGTATATATATATATGTATATGTATATTCCCCCCAAAATCCAGAGACAAATCACTGAACTCACGCTTTCTATTTCAGGCATCAAATGTAGAATAAGGTCAATTTGCCCTTTCCCAAACACAGATTTCTCTTCTAAAGCAAATCAAGACTAAACTTCAGCAAAGACTTCTTGGGAGACATAGACAAAAACAAGTCAAAAACAAAGGTCACTGACCTGTCTGCTCTGCTTTCCACGCTCCCAGGGAGTATTTCTCAGGAAAGTAAGAGTGTCAGGAACCCTGACACTGTCATGCAGAGCAAGAAGGAAAAACTCAGAGAATTCAAACTCAGCTGGAAATTGCTGGAGGAGCTGCCAGACACAATCAAGGAAGAGGAGAAACACTGGGGCCTAAGAAGAGAGCAATTAACGGTTAGGCCTGAGGTATGGCTCAAGTAGTAGAGCTTTTGCTAGTAAGTGCAAGGCCTGAATTCAATCCCCAGTACTGCTAAAAGTAAGTAAGAGGTTAGAGAGGATTGTGAGGACCTAAAAAGGTTGGATTCCATAATAAGGGGATGGGGGGGGAAGGGGGAGGCGGCACACAGGAATAGGATACTAAGGAGGTCAGGAAATGAAAGTCTGAGTTGAAAGTAGTTCATCTGGGTTTTCAAGTTCAACATAACCTCAGGACCTTTCTGATTCACTTCCAATGGATTATAATGTTATTTTTCTCCCTCCCTTAGGTCTTGCTCCCAGCCCTCCTAAATTGTTCTCACCTCTTCACTGGCCCCAGTTCCCCCAAACCGAGTCAGGAAGGGGTGACCAGCTGCCACCCACTCTCGCTGCACTACTGATTGAAAGCCAAACAGTGTTCGGGCTTCAGGGGCCAGAAGCAGCTGGACGAGTGAAGAGAGGAGGCCGTTGAGATCACGATCACCACGCTCTGGGTGATAAAGAAGAAGGACAAAGAAGGAGGGGTCCAAGAAGCTAGGGAAGAAGAGAATGAGAAGAGGAAGCATGGCAAGGAGGAATAAGGGGGGCGGGGAAAGTTGGGGATAGGTGGGATTAAGAAGGCATGTAGATATAAAGACAAAACAAAGCTTGAATGATTCACGTCATAGACGTGTGGATAGAAACACCCGGTGTCACATGCAGAGGGCAGAACCACAATTCTCAAACCAGCTTCCATAGTACCCTTCCCACCTCAACCCCAACCCCCATCCCCTGACAGAAGGAAGGGGAGGGAGGGGCTAAGAATATCCCAGGGATCAAAACAAACAAGCTATAGTGGGGAGGCAGAGGTAGTTATGAACATGGGAACTTATGGGTAGTTCCTAGTGACAGGAAGATGCTAGCACTAGAAGACAAGGAAGATTTCTGACCAACTCCATGAGCACTATCCAGCCAGGTGGGTAAGGGGGAAAAAAAGGAAGAAATGGAGTGGGCTGACCCAAGGAACTCACCTTGAAGTACTACAGAACGAACCCTGGATGTCACTAAAACTGAGACATCACTGGCCTTTCGAAGACAAGCCCTAGAAGAACAAAGGAAGGAGAGGCTGATAAGCCTGGAAAAAGAAGTAATGGCTTGGAATAGAGGCAGACTCCAAAATCCTGCCCCTTCCTCCAAGCAGTAGCAATAACAGACATCTTGGGAAACCAAGAAGAGTTCATGCAAGAATATTTAGAAACCCAAGTGTACAGACATTGGAACAGCCAGAATTATAAATCATGGCTAGAAGGATAGTACCTGACATAATCTAACCATCGTGTTCCTTCCAACGCTGAGAGCCATTTATCCTCAGCTACAGATGAGTCTGGTAGAGAGTATAGGAATCAAAGGGACAAAGAAATTAGGAGAATTGGGACTTGGGACTCAGGTCTATAGCCTGATGGGTTTAATAAGTGGTTACTTAAGACTGTGGATAGAAATGAAGTAAGTTAATAAGGACTATGTAAAAAAAAAAAAAAGAAATGAAGTAAGTTTAAGGACGTGTGATGTAAATGAGTGGTAGAGTGCTTGCCTGCCATGAGCCACCAGTACCCAGCTGATGGTAAATTTTACAGATGTACTTTTTTTTTTTTGTATGCTGGTTCTGGGGCTTGAACTCAGAGCCTGGGTGCTGTCCTTGAGCTTTTTTTGCTCAAGTCTAGTGCTCTACCACTTGAGCTGCCATTCTACTTTTGGCTTTTTGGTGGTGAATTGGAGATAAGAGTCTCAAAGACTTTTCCTGTCTGGGATTGGCTTCAAACCACAATCCTCAGATCTCAGCCTTCTAAGTAGTTAGATTACAGGTATAAGCCACCTGTGCCTAGCTTTATAAAGCTACTTTTTTTTTTTTTTGTCGGCCATGGGGCTTGACCTCTGGGCCTGGGCGCTGTCCCTCAGCTCTTCAGCTCAAGGCTAGCACTCTACCACTTGAGCTACAGCGCCACTTCCGGTTTTCTGGTGGTTTATTGGAGATAGGAGTCTCATGGTCTTGGAGACTGGGGCTGGCTTTGAACCGCGATCCTCAGATCTCAGCCTCCTGAGTAGCTAGGATTACAGGCGTGAGCCACCAGCGCCCGGCTAAGCTATTTTTTTTTAAAAGAGTATGTTGTTTCTAAGAAAATAGGCAATCAGTCTATAGGAAATGCAAATTGGGTGAAAAACAAAGATCAAGCTTGGCACAGGTGGCTCATGCCTGTAATCCTAGGTATAATCCTCACAGGCCTAGGATCTGAAAATTAAAGTTCAAAGCCAGCCCCAGCAGAAAAACCAGAGAGATTCCTCTCCAATTAAACAACAAAATGTCAGAAGTGGAGGCTCAAGTAATAAAGCTCCAGCCTTGAGTGAAAAAAGCTGAGTTCAAGCCCCAGAACTAGTTAAAAATAATAACCCTAAGGCTCACTGGCTGAGGGATTAATCATCTACAGTAGACAAAAATGGTAAACCAGGCGAGAGTCAGCAGGCCTAGAGGCGAAGGGCTAAAGGTTATTCTCACCAGGCAGACACAGGGCCCTCAGCTTCAAGTGGGCAAGTTGGACATCTGCAAGCCCAGGCAGTTCATCCATTGTGTCTACAAGGACAACATCGGAATGCCCAGCCTGGAGCATGGACTCCACTGCTCTGGAGGGGAGAAGTTAGACACTCAGGAAAGGAGTCTTTCCAGAACCCCTACCCCTTGCATATTCTCATCAGGCTCCCTCACCTGATGTCCTCTTTGTTAGGGTCACTGGCATTATAGAAACCTCCACATCGGAGAAGATCACTGCCCCCTGGGTGATGCCAGGACAGGCGCTTCCGATGGGAGAGAAGAAGGTTATTGTGGTAGAAACTAGCTCCAGCGCTCCTTGTCCACAGTGATGTCTCAGACTTCCCTCCCTGACCCCTGTGACCCTCTTAACCCAATCATTACCCAAACCCTCACACTGACCGGTCCACGGCCCTGACGGAAGTGGCCAAATGTTCTCCTGACCTCACTGTCCAGAATTCGGCTCGGGACCCAGAAGTACCGGGGGAGGCTGCAAAATGGAGAGTGATGTCACAGCTTGGCTCAGTGATTATCTATCAGGCAAAGCTTTATTCCCAGGAAGCTATTCCAAGGGATCTCAAGTTTTGAGACCAAGGAGATAACTGGGCTAGGAAGGTGGAGTTTGTGGGAAGTCCTACATTCAAAGGACAGGAACTAGGAGACAAGGAGTACAACAGGGGTTAGAGTAGACTAGAACCATCACCTGGTAGCTACATCGAACCTCTCGTTGACTGTGCTGACCCTCCAGCCCTTGGCACCCTGTTTCTTCAGCTCCATTTCCCAGTCTTCTAATGTCTCCAAGAGCGGAATAGGTGGTTTTCTGAAGCCAGAACCCTGGCCTAGAGCCCGAGTGACATGCAGAGGAAGATGAGAAGAAACCAGAAACAGTTTCTGAGCTCTTGTTTGCAGCTTCTAGTCCTGCTTTCTACCCCCCCACCCCTTCCCCAGACCCCATTGTCCTTTCTTTCCCTAAAGCATGCTTACGCACCAGCCTTGCTCAGGGCGATCCCTCCATACTGCTGGGTTTCATTGCTCTGAGCTCTGGCTTGGACAATAGCCATGGTTACCTATGGAGGAAAACACATCCCATCTTTTTGACTTGACTGAAGTGATAAGAATGCATTAGCGCGCCACTGACCACCAATACAGAAGCGCAAAAACAGATCCTAGTGGAGGGGGCTTCCACAGGTCCTGGGGTCTGGGGTTAAAAAAATCAAGAACCCCCAAAACAGTATACTGATTCTGGAAATAATCTTAGGAATACTATAATCCAATATGCCTTGTTTTACAGAGAAGAAAACTCACCCATAGTCACACTGCTGGTAACTAGCAGAGCCAGATTAGAATTTAGGCCCTTTACCCCTCTAATACTAACATTTATCCGAGCCTTTTAGCTCCTCTCTGAAGAAAAGGAGGACTGATGAGAAGGACCTTAAAGGATAGGAGACTACTGGGAATTGTCAGGGAGGGGTTCCTAGTTCCTTTTATTTTAAAGATTTTTTAAATTAGTTTATATTAGTTATAGGGGGACAGGGTTCATTGTTACAGTCTTCCACGTGTTTACACAGTATTCCAATCCATCTCATCCTGTTCCCCACTTCCAAATAACATCCAAAGATTTCCTTGTTTCATTTTCTTTTCTTTTCCTTTTTGCCAGTCCTGGGTCTTGAACTCAGGGCCTGGGCACTGTCCCTGAGCTTCATTTGCACAAGGCTAGCACTCTACCACTTGAGCCACAGTGCCACTTCTGGCATTTTCTGTTTATGCAGTACTGAGAAATTGAACCCAGGGCTTCATGCATGTTATGCAAGTACTCTACCCACTAAGCCACATTTCCAGCCCCCTTCTTTCATGTTCATAATCTATTTCAACAGTATTCAACCTCCTGTACCCTTCCCAAAGGACCTCTAGTTTCTAAAGAGAAGAAGGATCTTCTAGCAGTGATTTTTTTTTTTTTTTTTTACCTGAAAAGCTTGAGGTTCTAGTCCGCCAGCCTCAAAACCAATTCTGAGCAGCCGGAAGTCTCTGCCATGAATTAGAATCTCCTCAGGGATGAATTTAAGCTGGGAACCTGGATGGAGCTGAACTCGTGCTAAGCCACTCACTGAAGTCAAGAGTTAAAAGAGGAGGGTAACCATAGTGTTGCCCTAAGAAGAGCTCTTCCCACCTATTCTCTTCTGAGAATAAAGAATGGATGAGGAGAGGTTCCAACATCCCTTTTTTTTGGGGGGATGGTCCGGTCGTGGGGCCTGAACTCGGGGCCTGGGCGCTATCCCTCAGCTCTTCAGCTCAAGGCTAGGGCTCTACCACTTGAGCCACAGCGCCACTTCCGGCTCATTTTTTTCTGCTTATGTGGTGCTGAGGAAGCGAACCCAGGGCCTCAAGCATGCAAGGCAAGCGCTCTACCACTGAGCCACCTTCCCAGCCCTCAACATCCCTTTTAATGACCTGCAGACTTACTAGCCTCTAGTCGCTCAATGTTGACCAAAGAAAAGTCATATTCACTGCTCAGGGGTGTATCCTAGAGAAAGCAATGACCGATGTTACAGACATCGGAAGTAACACTCAAGTTTCCTCCCTTGGTGGTCTGTCATCCCATGTAAGAGGCCCCCACTCTAGAACCAATACCAACTATCACTGGTACATTCAAAAGAGACCCCTTAACCAACATAATATGTCTCAATCCTTGAACTTTTTTAAGAGTTTTGCTGTGTAGGGCACATTAGCCTCACACTCACAATCCTCCTGCTTCAGCCTCCCAAGGGCTAGGATTATAGATGTGTGCCACCACATCTAGCTTCTAGTTGTTTTTTCTACTGCCTAACCATCTTACCTGACTCCGTTGCCATCCACAAGGCTGGAAGGTGACCCTAAAGTTAGTACAGATCAGGATTCCAGGCAACTCAGGTTCCAGCCCTTTTCTCAGCCCTGGGGCCCATGCTAGGATCTGCTCCCCTAAGAAGAAAGAAGGAAAGCCAGATGCTGCCCATACTTGCAAACACCTACTCTTCTGCAGCCAGGAAGCTAAAAAGGGAAGATTAAAACCCTTGCTCACTGAATACAAGCTTGAGAATAAAGAATTGGTAAGTTTTAATACCTCTGTAACTAGCACAGAGCATGGAAAACAGAGCCTGCACCCAAATAGTTCCTGGATAAATGAGAAAAGAAGGAACAGGGTAAAAAGAACGAATACCAAGGACTCAGTTCTCTCTGCCAGCTCTGGTCAGAGAAGAGAACAAGCTTCATGCAGAGGCAGTTTGAGCCAGGAGAGGAATATGGAGGGGCTTCGGTGAGGAATTTGGAGGGGCTTGGGAGATCAGAGTATTACCTGGCAGGCATCCAGAGGCCAAGCTGGATGCCAAACTGCCAAGCTGCCCGCTCCTGGGCTCCGGCATCCTGCTTCCCTGGAAAGACTTTGGTTCAGAATGCTGAGAAGAGTAGAGGGTTAATCCCGCTCCCTCCTCCTCCTCCAGCCCCGGAGTCTGGGATTACCTCAGCAGCTGTGGGAGACTGGGGGAAACTGAGCTCAGTGTCTGCGGGGGGAAGCTCAGGACCAGGGTTGGCAGACACGAGAGGGAGGGGCTGGTTAATGGATAATGAGACCACGAACTTGAGACAGTAAAAAAGCAGCCCAAGCTGCAGCCACAGTTGCGAGACACACCCTCCTCCCTCGCTCCCGTCCTTTCTTGTTATCTGCATTGCATCCCCATCCATGCCCCCTGCCCAGCCACCCCGATTCCTTCTCCTTACCCCCATCTCTGGTTCCTCCTGCTGGGGGGCAATGTTGAAACTCTGGCCCCGACCCCCCCACCACATCTCTCTGCCTCCATCCGGAGATGGAGCAGGGAAGGATGGAAAACCTCAAGGATGCTCAGTCCTTCTGGGGAGAGGCTGAATCTTGTGGTGAAGAAAAAGTTGGGGGCAGGAGGGAGGACCCAAGGAACAGGAGCATTTGAGGTGCACAACTGGGGGTCTTAGGAAAGGTATGCCCTGCCTCCTCTGAGTAGGTTCCCCAGAAACTTTAGTCGACTCAGGAGAGGGCGGGAGAGATGCCCAGCCCCTTAAAGGAGAAGACACACATTTTTTTTTTTAAGTTCAGAGGAGGAGCCTTGAGAAAAAATGGAATGGGCAACCGAGACATAAATACCCAGACTCTTTATCCCAACTCTACTTTCTAGTCTCTTCCTGCTCAAGAGTATTGGTAACTGCTTGAGGGAGGCGTTAACACCATTCATTAAACTGGAATCATTTGAGCTACTGCTCCAGACTGTAAATAAGCAAAACACTCGAGGTTCAGATATTTTATGCATATGCGTCTTCCTAAAGGAGGGGAGGGAGAGAGGAATGCAAAATAGTTCAGACCTCTTCATTTCCTCTTCTCCTAAATCTGACAAAAGTGGCTGGGATGGGGAAGTAAATTGAGAATTGGACCTCAGAAATTCTTGCCAGGGGAGGTTTGAGAATTGAGAAAGGGCTAATTGAAGTGTTTTTTTGCATATGCTTTTCCTGAGAGCAAAATGTCTCCGGTGAAGGCAAAGGGAAGTAGGGAAAGGTGAGTCACAGGCGGTAGACTCAGCCAGGGAAATTTGGTTTAGATCCCAGGGGTAGGCCTGGGGGGGGGGGAGATTTTTACCACTTAATCTTTCCTGTAGCACCCTAACTAGGCACACCTCCCCCCTCCAGCACCAACAATTGACCATAATAGGTACTTGACTCCACCTCTAGCCAGACATCTGATCACCAAATGAATGATTCAAGTCAAGTCTGCCAAAGCCCAGGGCTAGAAACCTCCACACAGCGCCCAGCAGTCAAATGCTCTCCCTCCTCCCCCTCCCCCAGCAACCCCTAGAAGCCAGGGTGAGGAAGGGGGCTCAGAGGCAAGTGAAAGCCAGACAGCTGAGGGTGACTGGGGGCAGAAATGCACAAATCTATTCAGACACAAAATAGAAAACAGAATGCAAGATAAGAGGAGTTAATGAGCAGCTGTTTTATTGTTACTGAGTCTGTACAGAGGCAACAATACTAAGGTGGGGACCCAGTTCTCCAAAGTGACATTTCAATGTGCCCCTCCCTCCCCTCCACGCACACGCCCTGCAGCCTCAGTTTTAAAAGTTCCTTGTTTGGCTGCAACTATGGAAATAGTGATGGTATTGGGAGACAGTCTGGGAAAAGCAGGCTTACACCTGCTAGGAAAGGGCCCCCAAAACCGGATTCTCCAAGTCCCAAAAGCTACTGAGCACCACCACATTCCATGGACCTCAACCTCTTGGGGAGAAAAGATATTTCTCAAGGTCTATTGTAATAAGAGCATAGGAATAGGTAGGTACCAGTTTTAAAATCAACCCCTTTCCTTCCCTGCATCACTTTTTGTTCCAAACTTTCTATTCGTTAATACCTTCAGGTATGAGATACAGAAGAAGAGGAAGAAGAAGAAAAAGAAGAGGAAGAGGAAGAGGAGGAGGAGGAGGAGGAGGAGGAGGGAGGCGGAGGAGGAGGAGGGGATCATGGGAATGAAGGGAAATCAGAGCAATTGAGTGACTTGGATCAGCACCTAACCAGGAATGCAAAAGGTGGGGGTGGGGAGCAGCTGAGGGTCGTCACCGGCAGACTACCTCTCACCACCCGGAACACAGACCCAGAAGCTCACTGGACAAGAGGAAGGGTGGAGGCAAGGGACTGCATCAGATTTTTCCATTTTCAGAATTTTGCTCTGGTTGCAGGTTTGTGCCAGGAGTGAAGGCTGCCGGGAGGAGCAGCCTGAGGAGGGGGGTGGAGCTGAGTGACTCACTAGATGACTCACGGATCCAGTTATAAGCATTGAAGGAGGCCAAAGTTTCTTCCCACCCCCCACTCCCTCAGCCAGCCTCCGTTGCTCTTTTCTACTGCCCCTTACCCACTTGCCAGTGAGGAGAGGTGGCACCCACAGAGTCTACTTGGAGACAAGAGAATAGTTTGTTGATCAGATTGAGCACATAGGGGCAAAATACCCTATGATTTTCAGACTGGGTATCTGCAAAGCAAACAAGACAGAGTGCTTGTATGACTCATTGACTCTAGTTGGAAGGGGGAAAAATTAGAAAAATCTAGGGAGCAGGTGATTTCAGGCCAGGCTGTGTGGCTAGGGCACTGCCTCCTTGGAGAAAGAAGAGGACAGATTACAGATCACAGAGGTGTCTGAGGGACTCATACATCTCTGAAATGCTCTTTATTAAGGAAAAAAAAAGGTTACTGTAACCTTGAACACATGGTTAAAAGGATAAGAGTAGCAAGAGCTAACTTCTTAGAAGTCCCAGAAAACCTGTTCCTTTCTTTCGGGCACCATATAGTCTAAATATAATACACGAAGTCATTGTTAATTTTAATTTCACTAGTCTGTGGGTGTGTTTTAAGAAACAGCCTACAGGAAAGGGAAGGACTTCCATTTTAAAGCCCTCCATAATGCTGATTTTTAACACCATTTCATAGTCCTTAAAGAGACTGAATCTTTCATTGGTTTTGTGAGTATGAACTGAGAGCCAGGCAGGTGCTGCTCTACCACTTACTAGAACCGTGCCTTCAGCTCTTTTAATTTATATAGTGCTGGTTCTGGGGCTTGAACTCAGGCCTGGGTGCTGTCCCTGTGCTTTTGTGCGTAGGCTAGGGCTCTACCAATTGAGCCACAGCTCTACTTCTGGCATTTTTGGTATTTAATTGGAGATAAGAGTCTCGTGGACTTCCTGTCCGGGGCTGGCTTTGAACCACAAGTCTCAGATCTCAGCCTCCTGACTAGCTAGGATCACAGGTGTGAGCCACCCATGCTTGGAAATACATTTAGCTCACATCTAGTCTACTTACTTAGGGGGCTAAGATCTGGGTTCAAAGCCAACTCTTAACCTTCAGTTAACTGGGAAAAAGCCAGAACTAGAGTCAAGTAGTAGAGCACCAAACTTGAGTGGCAGCCCAGCTCAGTGGGAGTATGCGGTCCTGAGTTCAAGCTCCAGTACTGGCACCAAGAAAAGAAAACCAGTGTGAGGGAAAAGATTTTAGTTGATTCTTGTAACTTTCCATAAAACCAGCCTGGGTTAGTTAAGGGAGTGATTTTCAGTAGATAGCTCCATTTGGAAGGCAATACTGACTTAAAAGAAAAAAAATCAGTAGGTACCCCAGATGCCCTGGGTTAAAGAAACCAAGGACACTTAAATTTTAAGCCTGAAAGATGTCAAACCTCACCTAGGGTACAGGGGTCTTATCTTCCCCCTTCATTCACATCCCCTTTCTATACCAAGGAATTTTTGCTCATTTCAGTGCAGCCTGTTTAAGTCTCCCCACTCCTTCCTCTCTAACACGGTAATTGCATGGGCTTTCCTATTCACCCTCTCATCTTCCCCAAATACCACAAACCAATCCTAGTCTGTCTTCATTTCCTAGGCATTACATTCTTAACACCCATGCCACCCAAACCCTAACATACAGCAAAATGAACTTTACTATCCCATTTATAAAAATCCTGTGTGTGTGTGTGTGTGCGCGCGCACATGTGCTTGCGATCTCTGGTTTCCTTGTCCATAGACTTAAGAGGCTTCTCAGTGCCTTACTAACCTTCTCAAGTAAAGAGGAATCCTTAATAAAAACTATACCAAATTTACTCCTAGAAACCTTCCCCAGAATTTCCATCTTTTCCTCTTTGAAAAGAGCAAAGGGAATTGGGATTGGCTAATTTAGAAATAAAAACAAGCAGGACAGGATAACACGTTTTTTTGATTTTGTTCATTTGTTGTCTTAAAAACACATATTAACTAGAATCTATTAACAGATCTAATCCAAACACGGCAGTCCAGTGGAGAATCAAGTTTCTGGGTTTTATTCTCTGGGAAAATCCAATGTTTCCATTCCTATTGGTCCTGGCCAGCATCCTATGATATGGAGGCCTACAGGAGAAAGGCAAGCTGTGCAAACTCAGGGTATGGTTTGACTCACAGGGTGTCCGGTGGGGGGTAGGCAATGGAGGCTCACCGGGTGGCTCATCAGTGTTCTAACTCCAGAAACAAGGACATGACTTGGGTGAGGTGAACAATGCTCTCACCTGGTCACAAAATTGGAGTACTTAAAAACCCAGGAACCAAGACAAACACTATTTTGATACAGTATTTTTTTAAGCAAAAGTTAATGCTAAAAAACCTCATGCTGAACAACATACCAATTTTTTTGTTTTGGCAGTATTGGGGCTTGAATTTGGAGCCTCGTGCTGTAAAGGCAGATGCTCTTCCACTTGGAGCCATGTCTCCAGCCCAAAGTTTTGTCTTTTTTTTAAAAAAATTATCGTTAAGTTGTACAATTTAACAATTTGTCAATTTAACATGTCCAACCCCAGATTTTAAATAAAGACAAGATCCATCCCCATACTTGCTCCATCCAGCTTCATTTCCCTCATCTGAAGCCTGGTCCTGTCAGATCCTAAGATTTTGATATTTTGTTCAACATAGGCTTTTGGTATTAATTTTTAAAATAATGAATTAAAAATGATCTATTACTGAGTAG